TTAAAAGTTTCTTGAAATAAGTATAATTCAATTACGAGTTATAAGCCACTGCCATTGATGACCCCAAATTTCCATTTGTTAACATTTCCAGGATGAAGCACATAATTCTTCAGGAATTTTTGGGAGGCAATTCTCATATATTACAAAATAATAAATCCTGCTGTTTACAAAGCTCTTTCTCTTCCTTTAATGCAGAAACCATCAAATCAGTGGTTTCATTAAAATGAAAAAACAATAGCCTCGTACAGAATTAGGACATAGCTGCCAGGCAGGTGAGCAATTGCATTTCTTGGGTAGTTTCAGCCTTGGAATAATAAAAACTAGCCATGGCTTGAGAAGACGCAGTGAGACCTTACAAAGACTTTCTATGTTACTTCATACTTGAATGTAAACAAGGAACATAATTGTTTTCCAGATGTTTATAAACTGACTCAAAAGTAAGTAGCATGAAATAGCAAGTACCGTAATATCAAACTGCAGTTACTCTTTCATCATAATGAACAGAGCTCTTGCAGCAACATTTTTTTTTTTTTTTAATTCCAGGAAGAAATTCCAATGTGAAGATTTGGCTTGTAAAGGGTCTTTATCATAAAGCAAACTCACATATCAAATGAAAGCTGGTAACTATCTCTATCACATGCAAAGGAGAGGAAAACAAAAGAAATAAGAACTACCATGAAAAGCAGAGGGGTTTTTTTATTATATACTTCAGGAACTTCAGAATCTGCTTTAAACAAGAAGTAAAGGAATATTTTATTTAACTCACTTTGACAACTATATGACAGGAGCTTTCATTTTTGTAGCTTTTAATGAGTGACAGAGGCAATACACTGAAAGCCTGATGTTCCTCCAAGTCACCTAAAACCTCAATCCTTCTTGTAACCGGTATTTTACCTATTATATTTTACAATAGAAATCTGCCATTACAGTTTAGTTGCAGTTTTGTTTTGTTTTAGGTGACATTAAAAGAAATAAAACTTTACTTGAAATATATGTTTTCTAAGCATTTTTGGGTCATGCCTATCTCTTTCATTGGACCCTAAACATACACATTTACTACAAAGTAATACAGTAACAGCAAAGCAGCAGCTGAATTTCTGAACCAGATGTTGATAACAAAATCCATGTTTAAAAATATTTAACCATTTGTAATTTCACCAGATATGGGTTAAAAAAACAAAACTCGGCAAATTTAAGATTTTTAGAAGTAAAGGTATCTGCAGTTATTAGACCAGCAGGGGTCTAAACTTATCTAACTTTCATAAAAGGTTACAAGATTGCTAGGAAGATTAAATAAGAACTTAAGTCGTAGGCAAAGGTGCTGAGCAAGGAGGCTGGGTTTATCAGCTACTGATAACATTTAAAGGACTTTTAAAATGCAGACCCTGTTTATACTCTCAGCTCTACCAGTAACTGCTAATTCCATGCTTTATTCTAGGGCAAGGGTCAGCAAACTTTCCGTAAAGGGCCAGATCATAAATATTTTAGGCTTTGTGGACCATATGGTCTCTGTCTCAACTATAGTTGACCCCTGAACAACACAGGTTTGAACTGCATGGGGTCCACTTGTACATGGATTTTTCTCAATAAATGTTACACCAAGTGTGCCTGTCTTCGCCATCTCTGAGACAGCAAGAGCAACCCCTTCTCTTCCTCCTCCTCCTCAGCCTACTCAAGATGACATGGATGAAGACCTTTATGATGAGTCACTTCTACTTACTGAACAGTACATGTATTTTTCTTTATGATTTTCTTAATCATCTTTTCTTTTCTCTAGCTTACCTTATTGTAAGGACACGGTATATAACATACAAAATAATGTGTTAATGGATTACTTATATTATTGGTAAGGCTTCCAGTCAACAGTAGGCTATTAGTAGTTAAGTTTTGGGGGAGTCAAAAGTTATATGTGGATTTTGGACTGCGCAAAGGGTCAGCACCCCCAACCCCCACGTTGTTCAAGGGTCAGCAGTGGTATTCATCCCTGCCTGGATCCTACTGCTATAGTGCAAAAGCAGCCCCAGATAGTACTTAATGAATGAGCGCAGCTGTGTTCCAATAAAATTTCACTTAAGGACTTTGAAATTTGAATTTTACATAATTTTCATATGTCACGAAGTATTATTGTTCCTTTGATTTTTGAATAAAACATTAAAAAATACAAAAATCATTCTTAGCTTACAGGGGTAGGCTAGATGTGGCCTATGGGCCACAATTTGCTGAACCCAGACCTTGGGCAGTGCAATACATGCATAGTCTATATGATACAAAGAATGTTATACAAAGTTCTGGTTCTAGAACTGTTTGTAATTCATCTATATTTAGATAGGCACAGAAATTGAGGGTAAGCATTTAAAACTATCTCTGTCATTTTAAAATTACCTTTTCCAGTACCTGATTTTACTTATCTTTTACAAAATTATTGGTCTGTCATGCATTGAGGAAGAAAGAATCCTGGT